TGGGACAGTCAGCCGACCCAGAGAAGTCAATCTTTCGCAGCCCATATCCGAACCGGCACCAAAGGAGGTAAGCCGAGTCCAAAGATATATCTCGCCCTCCGACAAAGTACACTCTAATCGAGAAAAGAAATTCCTCACTTCGAAGCCCAGAGATATCTCCAAATATATTTAACTATGGCCAATCGTGAACTTGTAAGCCGGGAGACGTCCCGCCGAGTCATGAAATCCCCATTTAAATTAAAACGCCTGGAAACACGGCTAGTATTATTTGAAATCGGATGCAACGGTTCAATAGTGTTGCGACAGAATAAGATTACATCGGCATAAAATCAAAAAAATAAATCGCCTAATCCACGATCAACGGACCCTTCGCCCCAGTTGCGGCGACCTGACGCGTGTCATGCAGAAGGCGACTCGGCATTGGCCAAAGCAGCTGCATTCCAGTTCGCTCCCAATCGGTTGGATCCGTCTCCAACGCCCGAGCCTTCTGCTCCGCCTCGTCGAGCCTGAGAATCGCTTTCCTTCTCTTCGATTTTAGACTCGCGACTTCTTCTTCCAGCTCGTCCAAACGGAGGTCGATCCTTCTTTTCTTCAGACGAAAGAATTGCAAATCCCTGCACTGTTCTTGATAGAGGCCTCCGACCTACAAAAACAAAAGACAGTTGTTTAAATCCCCCGCAAATAGGATGCCAACATCCGCATAAACGGAACGGTACCGATACCTTCTTAACAAACGCCTCGGCCTCGTCTGATTCGGCTTTACTGGCCAACGTGCCTATGAGAAATGCCTTTACACCCGACGGTGTAAATTCGAGGCATCGCGGGATCCCCAGGATGGGCGGTGCATTCCGGTTAGCTTCAACATCCCGCATACATTGCTCGCAGTAGGCGTAAAGGCTCGTCGGCATCGGAGCTATGCGCCCGAATCCAAAGGGAATCCAGTTTCTCGGGTGAGATTCTAGCAGTTTCAACTTATGATCGAAGGCCGATCTAATCTCATCAACAATGAGAAATTGTTTAAAGTACTGCGTATGTTTATCATACACAGCCTGGAAGAACTCCTCTAACCGGAGTTTCTCTTGTCGAGTAACTCGCGACATCAAAGTCCTAGGAACCCTTAACGTCGGGAACAAGGGCATCCCACGATCAAGAGCTTCTTTCTCAGTGAAAGTTGGCATATCAACACCGGCGGACGGAGATTATCCATCGATTTTAGTCGAACCAGATTTCTCCATGACACCAGTTGGAGGAAAAAGAGGACGCAAGTTTAATCTAAGGATATCTTGAAAAACCATTGGCCGGGCAGCCTATTTATACCTATCACCCCCGCCTTTTACTGGAGCAAAACTGGCAGTCGGGGCAAGACTATATAGGAAAATCACCAATTTCAAGCTAAAAAAGAAGCATATTTCCACTTTTACGAATAAGGGAAATACAAAAAAAAAATTAATACTTCCGCTTTTTGGAAGAAGTAGGAGCAAGCTGCCGAAGAAGTGAAATTCAAAAGAGAAAATATATTACAAAAGGGCCGGCGGCCCATCCAAGTTCAAGAGTCAAACAAAAAAAAAAGAAGAGCATTAGACGACTTCAACGTCATCTTAAGGATTGCCCGGGTCTGAAGGAGGGTCATCATTGGTGTCAGGAGCTCGAAGGTCGGCCTGGAAGGCTGCCGCATTCGATCCATGTGGCTCTCGGATAGATCTGGGAGCGGGATCCTCAGGCCGAAGAAGACCGTAGCCGAGCTGGTCCGGAGACATGTTCAGGTCGGCAGAGTCGAGGACGATATAGTCAAGCGCGTCTGCAACCTCATTGCACTCGACTTTCTTCGCCTTGATCTTGGCGATTTCCTCCTCGGGGATCTGAGCATGGCACTCTTTGACAAGCCTGTCAATCGTAGCCTCGACCCCAAGATCCTGGTTCAGCAGGTCTTCCTTCGGACGAACAGTGACCTCTTGCTCGGCCAGGAACGCCTTCACCCGATCTAGGCGATCTTGGGCCTTCTTCCTCGTGCGCTCAACCACAGACTGCCGATCTAGGCGAAGTCGCCAGCATTCGGATTCGCAGAATTGCTGAAGGAGCTGAAGGTCGCCATCGGCTTTCGCCTTCTCCGCAGCAAGGGTCGCATTCTCGGCCCGAAGGCCGGCAATTGTATCCTCTAAGGAAGCGACGACTCCCTCTTAAACCTTGGCCTGTTCCTCCAAGCCTCCCACTTGCTTCCGCAGCATGGCCACTTTGTCCTCAGCCTCTTTGGCGCATTTCTCCATCATCAAGAAGGCGTGATTCGCCGTAGAGCGCGACTTCACCCTCTTTTTGTATTTGAAGAAGAGAGCGTTGCCATAGGCGATCGACTAGAAAAAAGACAAAAACGGTGTTAGAATATGCACAAAATATAAAGGACAGATATAAAGGAGCGATAGACAAACCTGCAACGCGGATCGAGTATAATTCAGATAATCCTCCTTGAACTCCAGCTCGTCGAGGTCGGGCAGAATTTCCGAAGAAAACTTTAAATTTCGGCATAATTCTGCCGAGGCATAACGATCGCCAGCTACGGAGCTTTCTCCGAAGTAGTCGAAGCAGAATTTGTCTGTCTTCGAATCCTTCCGAGTTAATCGGAAAGGATCAGAAGACTCTAAGTCAGCTGCTTCGGCCGACCTCTTACGGCTCGACTGGTTGCCAGAGTCCAGAGCCACGCCCTTGCCTTTGTCGATTCTCTTCTTCTTTTTCTTCCTCCCGGCCGTGTCTCCTTCAGACAGAGCAACCTCTTGTTCGGCAGTTACGACCTCCTGCCCGGGAACCTCGCCCTCACCACCACCATCGTCTTCCAGATCCACGATCGAAGGATCAGTAGGGGCGACCTCTCCTCCGGAAGCCGATTCAACTACGGCGACCTCCATAGCCGTTGTTGTTGGTGCCACGAGCTCGGCATCCCGAGCCTGGAGGGCGGTAACCGAAGTACCTGATGATTTGGCCAGCTCCTCTGCGAAGTTTGGATACTTTCTCGGGATCCTTCCCATCGCTTATTCAACTCGCTTTCGGCTAAATTGGTCCCACGCTCGATTCTCCCCGCTAAACAGGCTTGCCACAATGTCGGAGTACTCCGGTGGGAACGTAGAAAAGTTTCGGATGCGATCTGCATAAAAGAGGAGAAGTCAGGTCAGAACGATAAGGGAATTCAAAACAAAAACGTAGATTAAGTACCCGGATCACTATTCCATCGTCGGCGTAAGCCAACAAAAGGATTTTCGAGTGAGAGGTAGTCAGCTCGGACATAAAAGAAACGTTTTTCCCAGCCTTTGAAATTGCTGACTCAGGTTCCGGGAATGACGTTCTGTTTCTCCCTCATGTTCACGGTGAAGTTACCGGCGACCCTGGATTTCTTCAATACCGTCATCTCCTCAAAGCACATGACGGGAACCCTTGTACCGACCTCAGACGCTAGGGTCAGTATTCCAACGATGTTACAAATACTGGCCGGAGCGAGCTGAGAGATCGCCAGTTTACGGCGATGAGTATATTGGGACAAGAGCTCGGGCAGAGGAAACCGCAGACGGCAGCGGGTGAAGTACATCTCGTACAGACAGATGTATCCCTTTGGAGGAGTCCACGGGCGTTGAGTCTCATGCGGAATCAGGATA